CCCCCCCCTCCCCCCAATCAGCAGAAGACCCTTTCCAGGTAGGGGTTGAGGAAGATGCCGGTGGGATCCAGGCGCTCCCGCACGGAGCAGAACTTTGGGAATGCCGGGAACATCTTCTCCAGCTCCGGCCTGGTGCAGCTGTGGGCCTGGGGGGGGGAGGGGAACCTTCCAGGGGGGAATTCCCAGAATCCAGGGGGGCATTCCCAGATCCTGGAATGTGCTCTGGCCACGGGGAGGGGGGGGGGAGCCCCAATCCCAGCATCAGCAAACATCGGGATATGGAAGGATCCAGAGCCCTGGGATGTGGGATGGGATCCATCCCTGCTCCCCCCTGGTCTCCAAACCTGCTTTCCAAGATGGAAAATGGGAATTCTCCCCTTTTCCCAGCCCTGGATCCCCACCAGGACGTGCTCAGGGAATGGGGGGAGCCCCATCCCAACATCCCAGTGCCCAGAAAACTTTGGAATAAGGAGGCACCCAGAGCCCTGGGATGTGGGATGGGATCCATCCCTGCTCCCCCCTGGTCTCCAAACCCCATTCCCATGATGGGAAATGGGAATTCCCTCCTTTTCCCAGCCGAGATTCCCACCAGGATGTGCTGGGAAGCTCCTCAGGGAATGGGGGAACCCCATCCCAACATCAGCAAACATTGGGATAAGGAGGCATCCAGAGCCCTGGGATGTGGGATGGGATCCATCCCTGCTCCCCCCTGGTCTCCAAACCCCATTCCCACAGGGAAATGTGATGGAAAATGGGAATTCTCCCCTTTTCCCAGCCCTGGATCCCCACCAGGACGTGCTCAGGAAATGGGGGGAGCCCCATCCCAACATCAGCAAACTTTGGGATATGGAAGGATCCGGAGCCCTGGGATGTGGGATGGGATCCATCCCTGCTCCCCCCTGGTCTCCAAACCCCATTCCCGTGAGGAATCGTGCCGGGAATCGGGAATTCCCCCCTTTCCCGGCCCTTTCCCGGGGTTTTTTCCGGCCGTACCTTGGCCCAGTGGGGTCTCCCTCCGTGTTTCCTCATGATCCCCTCGTAGATCCGCCAGTATTCCCGCCTGGGAACGTCCTTCCCGTACGGCCTGCGGGGAAAAACCCGGGAATTGGAGCGGGATCCGGGGCTGGGATTGGAAAAACCCACCCGGGGAAAGGGCTGGGAGAGCCTGGGAAGGGGATGGGGTTGGATTGGGAATGAACCCCCAGCCCATCCCACATCCCGGGGGTATCCAGGGAATGAACCCCCAGCCCATCCCAGGGGTATCCAGGGAATGGCCCAGCCCATCCCACATCCCAATCCCACAGCTTTGGGAGCACAGAGCTCCAGGACAGGGAGTGGGATGGATTTGGGATCCTGGGATAAGGATGGATCTGTTATCCCAGGACAGGGATGGATCTGTTATCCCAGGATAAGGATGGATCTGTTATCCCAGGACAAGGATGGATCTGTTATCCCGGGACAGGAATGGATCTGTTATCCCGGGACAGGGATGGATCTGTTGTCCCAGGACAGGGATGCATCTGTTATCCCAGGACAAGGATGGATCTGTTATCCCAGGATAAGGATGGATCTGTTATCCCAGGACAGGAATGGATCTGTTATCCCAGGACAGGAATGGATCTGTTATCCCAGGATACGGATGGATCTGTTATCCCAGGATAAGGATGGATCTGTTATCCCAGGACAGGGATGGGTCTGTTATCCCAGGACAGGGATGGATCTGTTATCCCAGGACAGGGCTGGATCTGTTATCCCGGGACAGGAATGGATCTGTTATCCCAGGATAAGGATGGATCTGTTATCCCAGGATAAGGATGGATCTGCTATCCCAAGACAGGGCTGGATCTGTTATCCCAGGATAAGGATGGATCTGTTATCCCAGGATAAGGATGGATCTGTTATCCCGGGACAGGAATGGATCTGTTATCCCAGGATAAGGATGGATCTGTTATCCCAGGATAAGGATGGATCTGTTATCCCAGGACAGGGCTGGATCTGTTATCCCAGGACAGGGCTGGAGAGGAGTCTCCATGCCAGCATTCCAGGTGGGAATGCCGCCTCCAGCCCCGCTCCGTTCCCGCCTGTGGGGGCGGTGGGATCCCGGGGGGATCCCGGTGGGAAGGGGGATCCCGCTGGGATGGGCCATTCCCGGATCCCGGGGAATGCCCCACCTGTAGAGGACGACGTTGATGAAGCAGCTGTCCCTCTGGAAGCAGGGGCTCAGCCACACCTCATCCCCCTTGGAAAAGCGAACTTCCACCGGGAAATGGGCCCCCAGGCCGGGATGGGCGTCCAGAGCCGCCTGGAGATCCATCAGCGCTTCCCGAGTGTTCCCACTGAGCGGGAAACACCCCAATCCCGGTCTGAGAGGGGATTCCCAACACCCACAGCTCCATCCCAACCCCCACAGCTCCATCCCACACCCCACAGCTCCATCCCTCATCCCACAGCT